AAGAATGTAATCAATGTCTCTGAATTATATGTGCAGAAAATGTGGAATTGGCAAATGTTTTGTTATGTATATTTTTACTACAATAAAAAAAAAAAAAAATTGCACAGGAATCTAAGAGCCAGGCCACTTAGATTCCCCATTCAGGAACTCAGAATTGGGAAACTGTGGAACCGAGGCACTTAGTACCTCGAGAATAGCTAAAAAGAACCCTTGAGAGATGACATGAGGTAGAGACAGTGCCAGATGGGTTGGGACAATTCAAAGCCATATTTAAGCAAAGGTTATGGAGCAGTAGAATTGATGAGTTAGTAGAGTAAGCTGATTGGTGAAGAGAGGAGAAAATGTTAAGACACATGGGGAAAGCAGAGATAATATAAGCAAGGGATGTTATAGCCTCTGAAGGAAAGAGGCCTTGAAGATCCCTGATGATTTTCCAGTTTCCCTGATGCTTGAGTATATTGGAGTTTTTGGATGTCCATGAAATTCATATATTGTTACAACCAATTCTTCTTGAGCTTGATCGACTAGGTCTCTGTTCCTTGCAACCCCCAAAATGCTGACAATATATTAATTAGTGATCAGTGGGATGGTAACATGGTGTCCAAGAAAATACCAAGAGGAAGGTAAAATTATAATAATTTGTTTCTTTACTCAGTGGCTGTAATATGCTTTTTTTGTTTGATTGCTATTAAAACCTATAGTGGACATTGGCTGTTTTGTCTGTCTAGCAACCATTATTTCTGTTAATAGTACCCTAGTTTTTCTTGGCTATAATCTTCTCTCATTCTCAATCCATATGATTTGGAAAGTATTCCCAGATCTAGAGGTGGACCTGCGATCCAGATCTATACAAATCAGTGTATATTTTTTTCTTCTATACAGTGATTGGTTAAGGGATGAACATGTGACCCAGTTTGGGCCAATGAGAACCTAGCCTGGAATTTCACAGAATTTGTAGGAAGAGACAATCTCTCCACCGGACTTGGAGCTATGAGGATGTAAACCTGGAGCTACTGAGGCTCCTTACATGGAAAGGGCTGCCTGAAAGTGACACCAATGAGAGCAAAGCGCCAAGAGATGGAAAGAGAAAAAATGGGTCCTGATGACACTGTCTGATCTCCTCTATCCAGTAGTACCTGAAACAAGACACTCCTGGACTTCCCAGTAACATAAGCAACTAGATTTCTTTCTTTCTCTTCCTTCCTTCCTTCGCTTCTTCTTTGCATAAGTCAATATGACTTAGGTTTTTCACCACTGTCAACTCAGAGTTCTGACTACAAGAAAAGCTATTGCCGTATTTCCCCAATTCTCCAAAATATGTCAAAGAATGGTTTTGAGTATAATATTACGCACTTGGACTTGAGAAGTTATATAGTTGTTGTTGTTGTTAGGTGACGTAGAGTGGGTTCTGACTCATAGCGACACTATGCACAACAGAACAAAATACTGCCCAGTCCTGTGCCATCCTCACAATTGTTGCTATGCTTGAGCCCATTGTTGCAGCCACTGTGTTAATCCATCTCGTTGAGAGTCTTCCCTTTTTTCACTGACCCTCTACTTTACAAAGCATAATGCCCTTCTCTAGGGACCGATCCCTCCCGATAACATGTCCAAAGTATGTGAGACATAGTCTCACCATCCTTGCCTGTAAGGAGCATTCTGGTTGTATTTCTTCCAAGACAGATTTGTTTGTTCTTTTGGCTGTCCATAGTATACTCAATACTCTTCGCCAACACCACGATTCAAAGGCATTAATTCTTCTTCGGTCTTCCTTGTTCATTGTCCAGCTTTTGCATGCATATGAGGCGATTGAAAACACCATTGCTTGGGTCAGGTGCACCTTAGTCCTCAAGGTAACATGTTTGCTTTTCAACACCTTAAAGAGGTCTTTTGCAGCAGATTTGCCCAATGTAATGTGTTGTCTGATTTCTTGACTACCGCTTCCATGGTTGTTGATTGTAGATCCAAGTAAAATGAAATCCTTGACAACTTCTATCTTTTCTTCATTCATCATGATGTTGCTTATTGGTCTAGTTGTGAAGATTTTTGTTTTCTTTATGTTGAGGTGTAATCCATACTGAAGGCTGTGGTCTTTGATCTTCATCAGTAAGTGCTTCAAGTCTTCTTCACTTTCAGTAAGCAAGGTTGTGTCATCTGCATAATGCAGATTGTTAAAGAGTCTTCCTCCAATCCTGATATACAGATAAAATGTTAATAAATGGAGAAGTGACCAGCAGCTCACAACTAGTCCAACTGGACTTTATTCATGTTTACATTGATTGACCCATTTTAGCTATTTATTAAATGTTTGTTCACACCACACTTAATTGAGTGTTTATTACACAGTAGATAAAAATCTAAATGACAACTCTGGATTTGAAAAATGAAATTTTGTGGCATTCATATAAAACCAAGTGTTATGTATGCAAAAAATTGGAACTAGGACCTAAGGCTGAGGCTCAAGAAGTATTAAATACCTTCATAATAAATAGAGAGTTACAAAAATCTTGGGGCTACGTAAAACCAAATGAGACTAACGAGGTACAGTAGTCCAGTAACAAGGGCCAGAAGGCAGAAGGGGACAAGGAAGCTGGTGATAGGGAACCCTAGGTTGAGTAAGGATATTGTTGATGTGTTGTGAGATTGTTAACCATTGT